TGGATGGTCATCGCTTTTTCTTTACGATTGTTGATGATTGTTCCCGCGTTACTTGGGTATATCTTTTGCGTAATAAAAGTGAAGTTTCTATTAAATTTCCTGAGTTCATTTCCCTTGTTCGCACTCAGTTTTCTGCATCTGTCAAGGCCATTCGCAATGACAATGCTCTGGAACTTGCCTTCACTGATTTCTTGCTCAAACATGGCATTGTTCATCATTTTTCCTGCCCATATACTCATCAACAAAACTCTGTGGTTGAGCGTAAGCATCAGCACATCTTGAATGTTGCACGATCTCTTCTTTTTCAGTCCAACATTCCATTGCCTTACTGGGGTGAATGCATTCTTACTGCAGTTTATTTAATTAATCGCATTCCCTCTCCATTACTTCGCAACAAAACACCTTTCGAGTGTCTCACAAACACCAAACCGTCTTATTCTCACCTTCGAGTTTTTGGGTGTTTGTGTTACGTGTCTACCCTTGGTAAAGATCGGGATAAATTCTCTCCCCGGACTCAACCGGTTGTGTTTCTTGGTTATCCGTGCGGCGTGAAAGGTTACAAAGTTTTAGATTTGACTTCCAACGTAATTTCTGTTTCTCGCAATGTTATTTTTTACGAGTCAGATTTTCCGTTCAAATCTTCTGCTTTATCTCCTTCCACGTTGCAATTTTTTCCATCTGATACTTCTCATTTTTTCTTGTACGACTTCTCTCCTCCATCTATTTCAGTCTTCCTCCTGTTCCCGAGTCTGGGTCTTCTATTCAGTCCAGTTCTGCTTCTTCCTCCTCTGCTTTGTCTCCTTCAGAGATTTCTTCCTCTCCTGTAATTTCTGTGAACAATGATAGACCATCTCGGCAAACCAGATCTCCTTCTTACCTTTCGGACTATCACTGCTACATGTTGACAGATTCACCACACACCCTTACCTCCTCTACGCCTCACCCCTTATCTGATGTTCTTGCCTATGACAAACTTTCTTCGTCATACAAACACTTTGCTCTTTCTATCACCACCATACCCGAACCCACCTCTTATACACAGGCTTCCAAATTCGAACAGTGGTGGGAAGCTATGAAGCTTGAGCTTGGTGCTCTGTTACGTACCAACACTTGGACTGTTTGTTCTCTTCCACCGGGTAAGAAACCAGTGGGTTGTCGTTGGGTTTTCAAAACAAAATTTCGTGCAAATGGCTCGGTGGAACGTTACAAAGCACGCCTTGTAGCTAAAGATTATACGCAGCTCGAAGGGATTGATTTTACAGAGACATTTAGCCCTGTTGCGAAATTACCGACAGTTCGCCTTGTTCTTGCACTGGTTGCTGCTAATAACTGGATTGTTGATCAGATGGATGTCTCCAATGCGTTTTTAAATGGCGATCTCGATGAAGACATCTACATGGTTCAGCCTCCTGAGTATTTGTCGCTTCAGGGGGAGTCTGTTGCTCCGAATTCGGTCTGCAAGTGAAATCGTTCTCTGTATGGTCTGCGCCAAGCATCTCGGCAATGGAACCACAAGCTGACTCAGGTTCTTATTGATGCTGGTTTCTCGCAATCTCAAGCTGACAATTCACTCTTTGTTAAGCGTCGAGACTCTCGTTTTGTTGTTGTGCTTATATATGTGGATGATTTTTTTATTATTGGGAATGATGCGGCTCTTGTCCAAGATCTTAAAGACACTTTGAGTTCGCATTTCCAAATTAAAGATCTCGAATCGGTTCACTATTTCTTGGGTCTAGAAGTTGCTCGTTCCAGCAAGGGAATTTATATCTGTCAACGTAAGTACACATTGGAGCTTCTTGAAGAGTTTGGGATGTTAGGCTGCAAACCTCTGTCAACACCGATGGAGTTTGGAAGTAAACTCAGTCAGGATTCTGGGAACTTCTTTCTGATCCTACGCATTATCGAACTTTGCTGGGCAAGCTCATTTATCTCTCGCTTACGCGTCCTGATCTCAGCTTTGCAGTCACTAAGCTGAGCCAATAAATGTCAAAACCTCAAACTGATCATCTCCAGGCTGCCTATCGTGTTCTTCGGTATTTGAAAACCGCTCCTGCTCAAGGTCTCCTCTATCCTGCAAATTTTGATCAGCGTTTTGTGCTTATACGGATGCTGATTGGGCGTCTTGTCCGGATTCTCGTCGATCGGTCACCGGTTTTTGTATCTTCTTCGGTGGTGCTTTGGTATCTTGGAAGTCTAAGAAACAACCGACTATTTCTCGCAGTTCGGCGGAATCGGAGTACCGAGCCATGGTTCAGACCACTTGCGAGCTAGTTTGGATTGATTCTTTGCTTCGTGATATGAATATTCATTGTCCTCGACCTGTCACTTTGTTTTGCGATAATCAATCTGCAGTCCACATCGCAAACAAACCGGTTTATCACGAAAGAACTAAGCACATTGAACTTGATTGTCATTTTGTCCGTGAGCATTTGAAGTCTGGGTTTCTTAAACCTTTACACGTTGCTTCGGTAGAACAGGTGGCTGATATTCTGACTAAATCGGTGTCTGTCGAGATTTTCCGGCGAATGCTGTCCAAGATGGGAATTCATCACGTGTATTCTCCATCTTGAGGGGGAGTGTTAGACATCAGTTATTCTGTTATGATCTGATTTGCATATATGAACTATTGTTTATCTCTTTGTATATTCTCCTAGTTTTTAGTTGCTTTGTTTCGTTCACTTCTGTATATATGTTGGGTTTATGCTCTCTGGAATAATACAAGGAATACAATTTCATCTTCATATTCAGATACTTAATATAATAACCAAAAATTAAATAAAATTTGATTTTGCATTGATTCGATTCGATTTCAAATATTTAAAAATCGAATATTTTTTTTGTATTATAAAAAATATCTAATAAATGAAATTTTAATATAAAATGTAAATATAAAACCTGTTTGCTAGATCAGTGAATAGATTCTAATTATTTCATTAAGCTATAGAAGGAAAAAAACGTCTATAAATGGGTAATGGGCCAATCCCAAGAAGTGATCCAAAATATAAACTCCGGTTGAACATTTGAGACCGATGAAAATAAGCCGAATTATGCAGTCATATATCACAACAACAACAAGGAACAAATAAATAAATAAATAAATAAATAAATAAATTATATATCTTTTCGTTTTAAATTTATCCTGAATTTAAATCAAAACGTAGATAAAGATATTTATCCGAACTTTTTCAAAAGATATAATTGGATCAAAGGGTTGATAAACTTATAGATTATCAGAACAATATATTTTCTCTGTTCATACAAAATTTACCTTAGTTGGAAAAAATAAATCCCATGAAAATTCTTTTTCAAAAACTAATTCATCGGTTTTTTGCTTAACAAATAGATTTTCAATTCGAAAAAGTTTTATAAAGAATACTGGGAAAAAAATTTATCGCATGGTTGTTCATGTGATTTTTTCATGACGTCAGCATTTTTAAAAAAAGAATTAAAAATCATACATATACATATATATACATAAATGCATGGGTATATATATAAATGTATACGTATTACATATGTGTTTATATATAAAATTTTAAGTTTCTTTTTAACAAAAATGATGATATGAAAAAAAACTGATGTGGCTTAATCATGATATGGGCGACCACGTGTGAGGTCAAAATTCAACTTTGTCATTTCCAATGAACTTATTTAATATGATGAATTTATTTGTTAAACGATGAATTAGTTTTCCAATTTCGAAGAAGATAAGAAACTTTTATGGAATTTACAGCAGCATGTTGCATGGCTCGTGTGGAAGAGATGCTTTACATTCATATAATGGAATAAAGACAACAAATTAAACTATCCATATCCTTAATTTTGTCCGAAAATTACTACGAATCATGTACCACCGAAAGATGGATGTTTCGGTATTCGATTTGAATTTAGTTCGGAAATAGTTTGATTTTATAAAAATATGCACTAATCGATTATTGTATCATATTTAATTCGATTCGGTTTCGGTTTTTATTAAAAATTTATATCTTTTTAATATTTGTTTTTTATTTTTCGGGTTTTTGTAAAATCGGTTCGTTTAATTCGATTCTGAAAAATTCGGTTTTAAAAATGATAGCGTTCAGAAATTTTAGATGATTCGGATAAAAAAATATCATATTTTTCGGCTTGATATGATTCAGTTCCGGAAAACTATACCGAAACGTCCACTCATTCATAGATCCACCCATTCATACATAAACATATATATGTATGCACAATAGAGAAAAGAAAAAGCATGGTCGGTTTTTTTTTTCTAGACCAAAATACAACCTTAGATGGGTCGATCGATTACTAATTATATATATTCGTATATACGTACTAGTTAAACAAATATACGTGAATTAAAATTTTACTTTTTACGTACCAATTCTCTCCAATATACATGTAATCTTTTAACCCCCCAAGCAATTGAATAAAGTATCATGAATATCTTAACAAAAAAATAATATTGATTTTTTTTTTCACTGTGACATTATGGGGAAAAAATTCACTTAAAAACAAAACCCACTCAAAAATTTGGGACACATATCTCCATATATATATATTACTGTATAAAAATGCCGATGATAAAAAATTTACCATTTCAACCTAAAGTAATTGTTGTACAATAAATAAATATTAAAATACATAAATTATATTAATAGGCAGTATATATCGAAATAGACACGCATTAGTATTCAGTGGATGTTAAATCTTGAACCAAAAGGAAAAATGATAGAAAAATAAAAAATACAATGATAAATCGATGGTCCTAGTGCACAAATAATCAAATAGTTCTTTTTTTAATAATTCACACTTAAAATAACAACAATAATAATAATTTTGCACACATTTTACTATTATTGTTATTATTATTCCCAAACTTGAAAGCTCGTGCGTAGCTTTTGTGTTAAGAGGGACATAAAACAGAGCTAGGGTTTCCAATACACCTCCCTTCTTCTTCTTCCTCTCATTCCTCACCGAAAAAAAAACTTTTTTTTTTCCGAACACTTGTATAAGATATGGCTATCTTCAACACTCACAACGCATGGGCCTTTGCTTTCGGTTTAATCGGTACAATTTATAAACATTTCATCTTATAGTATATATATCATTTCATTTTCGTTTTTTCCACGTTGGTAATTTCATTATACAACTGATTTCATCACGATTGTTTTTTTTTTTTGTGTGGAGGCAACATCATCTCCTTCTGCGTGTTCCTCTCTCCGGTGTAAGTTTCTTACATCATGTCTGTCTCCATCCACTCTCATATATTGTTATAAACACTTGAACTATAGCTTATGTATACGCATATATATGAAAGTGCATGTGTATCTTACATATATATATATATATAATCTGTGATTGGTTTGGTGTACGGATAGGCCGACCTTCTATAGGATATGGAAGAAGAAGACGACAGAAGGGTTTCATTCACTTCCATATGTGGTGGCCCTCTTCAGTGCCATGCTGTGGCTTTACTACGCTACTCAGAGGAGTGACGTTCTCCTTCTCGTCACCATTAACTCTTTCGGCTGCTTCATCGAGACCCTTTATATCTCCCTCTTCCTCGCCTTTGCCGACAAGAGTGCTCGGGTATGTATATATATATACATCCTATATATGTTCCTTCATATGGGTCTCTCTATATATATATGTATGCATGCATCATCGTATACGTCACTTACTTGGCTTGCATGTTATTGCGTGTCATCAATACATATATATATAACGAATTGGTATGATGGTGCATGCATGCAGATGTTTACATTGAAGTTGGCCCTGCTTATGAACTTTGGAGGATTCTGTATGATTCTCCTCCTCTGCCAATTCTTGGCAAAAGGATCGACCCGTGCAAAGATCATCGGGGGAATCTGTGTCGGATTCTCCGTCAGCGTTTTCGCTGCCCCTCTCAGTATAATCGTAAGTTGTGTATATATATTTCCATATATATATATATATTTCCATATATATATATATATATATATTGAATAGACGAATATGAAAGAATGATGGATACAGAGGGTGGTGATAAAGACGAAAAGCGTGGAGTTCATGCCCTTCAGCTTATCATTGTCCCTTACACTCAGTGCTGTCGTCTGGCTTCTCTATGGCCTTTCTCTAAAGGACTTCTACGTTGCCGTATGCCCTCTCTTCCCCTTTGTTATTTTATTTCTTCTTCTTCTTTTATATATATATATATATATACACACACACGCAAACATGTTCACGTGAATATTAATAACCATAAGTACCATATCATGAATGTAGCCACAGATTAAAGAATTCAATGCGGAGAATCTTGAAGACATTGACATATATGTAGTGTGTGTGTGTGTTAACTTTTAATGTCAATATTATCGTTATATACATATCACTATAGGATACAAGATAGGACATTAGCATTAAGCGGTTTGCTTTTGTTTCTGTTGTTCCTGAGGCTAATCATATATATGAGAAGAGATATATATATATGGATTGGAAAAAAAAAAAAAAGAAGGAAATCCCTTTTGTTTGGCACTGTCATCAGCATGAACTATATATATATCGCAAACTGTAAAGATACTCGCTTTATAAACCTAAAGAAGCAAAAAACGAGTTTGCCTTTACGAAAGGGTTAATTATTATATAATATGATTTATTTTATGCATATAGAGTACTTGTCATGTTATCACGCAATGCTATAGTATACGTCCCTTTTCCATACATTCTAAATTCGATTTATTCATTTTGGTAGTTCCCGAATGTGATTGGCTTTCTTCTCGGTGCAATCCAAATGATTCTGTACGTGGTTTACAAATACTGCAAAACGACGCCGGATTTCACGGAGAAAGAACTGGAGGCGGCAAAATTGCCTGAGGTGAGCATTGACATGGCATTTCCTGAGTCTCCGATCACAGCCGTCCGTTCGGAAAGCACGTGTACCTGCAACAATCGAACGGCTGAGGACGACGATGGTCCTAACACTGAAAACGGCAGGCAGTGCTCCGCCGCCGCCAAATGAGAATGTTTGAGACGTGTACCCTTCTCGTTACACACGACACGTAGCCCATCCCACGCTTGTACGGTTGTTGTACCCCGAGTTTATCAACTTTGCGAAGTAGACGATCGCCACCCCGTAAATATATGCATTCTCGGATGGTAAACACATTTTTTCTCCGGTGTTTTTTGAGCAAATTATTTACCTATTGAAATATGTATTTGCTAATTTCCAATTTAACGAACAATTATATAAAAATTATCCAATAATTTCATGCCCATTCTTCCTCTATAATTATCATAAAATTATCCAATGTCTTTCTACTACATTACGCTGAAGAGAACACTGCAATCTCACTCCAACTAAATTAACAATAATATTAATATCCCAATTAAATTAAACCCACAAAAACAACATCCTACCTTAAGATAAAGTTAGAACCCTAACATCTCTCTCTACACAGGTAAGAAGAAAAGCTGTATATAAGCCTGATCAACTAACTGCAAAGATTACACAGTACAAACAGAAAGCCCTTTATTTTATTTTATTTTTGTAATTAAAACTCCAAACATAACCTATCTATAGTTGTTGCTGCCTTTCTCCGTAATTGTTTACCTTTTCCTTCTCATGTTGGATTTCACCGATGTTTCTCTCGTCTTCCTCCTCTCCGTCTTCTTCTTCTTCATCATCATCATCATCGTCGTCCGTCATCTCGTTTAATGCATCTGTGATGATGTCCTTTACTTCGGCTTTTCTATGCATGAGATCCACACCAAAATGCTTGCCTGATATAATGCCATTGTTACAAAGCTACATAAATCTTAAGAGAGAGAGAGAGAGAGCGGGAGAGAGAGAGAGATCTGAGTCCACGTACCAAGCTTCCTTGCAATGTCTGATAGAGTTACCTGTTAGAGCCAAAAAGGAAAAAAAAAAAGAGCGCGTTCTGTAAGAACATTTAGTAGTAGTGAAGCTTAGCTATTTGCAGAAGTTGCAGAACCAACTGACCGTATCGAAGTTCACTTCCTTTAGAATTTTGGCCACCACATCATGCATCTCTTTTCTCGTCGGCTCTGCTTCACCTTTCTTGCCTGCTTTCTCTTTACCTGTCCCATGAAAGTATCAAACAGTAAGCAACCCACCTTCAAAAGGAAGCTAGAACTTGAAGAAACCCATTTACTCAATGATGAGATTAAAGCTCTCGTTAACGGCCAAGAATGCTCCAAAACCTTTCTCTTTAGAGGAATCAACTTTCGGCTTCTTGGTCAGGGATGACATTGATTTAGTTGTTTGTTTGGAGGACTTCTGACCCTTTGATGATTTCCCCAGAGATTCCTCGGCAGATGCTATAGTCTTTTTCGACGAGCTTTTCTTTTCGGGTGACCTCTCCTCCTCGGCTTCGTCTTTTTCATCCCCAGTTTGGGTATCTTCGTCGTCACTTTCTTCCCTCGGTGGTGCATCATCTTCTTCATGGGAATCATTAGTTCCTTCTGAATCACCATCGCCTTCATCTTCTTTGCCTTCTTCAGATCCAGATGGCTGACTTCGCTTCTTTTCAGATGTCTTTGGTTGCCGTTTTCTCTGCGCAGTTACAGAAAATGATAAAGGCATCTTTATTCAACCAAGTCCAACAACGTAACCATCAAGATGCTCAACCAGACATGTCAAGAACAAAAATGAAAAGTATAAAAGAGGCCTCTAGTGGGTCATGCTAATGCCCATATTCGAGTCTTCCGGATGTCTACAAATTCTATGAGAGAATAACAATAGCTACATCACAAGAACCCATATTAGAAAACTAAACAACATAGGTTGTGCCCTTAAGCTTTCAATGTATCTTGAGCGTGTATAACATATATAGCAGAGGTATACAGAACAGTGAGTAAATAAATACCAAGATGATAAAATGAAAACAGATCACACAATTCAGCTAGTTCTTCATCATCCATGCAGAAATCGAAGGTAGAAAAAATGTTGTTTGAAAGAGATACCAAAGAGAACAGTGGCACGGGATACAAAAAGAAATCAGGAAGACTTGAAAAGCTACTCAATGGGCAAACCTTGGTTGCAACTTCAGATGCTTCACCAGAACTCTCATTTTTTGGAGTAACCTTGCGTTTCTTCGTTTTCTAAAATAAACAACTCAAAACAAAAGAAATTGCTACTTATTGACGATAAATATAGAGAACAATCACACACTTTGTCAATAAGCTGCTCAAACAGACAGTACCTTTTCCCTATCAGCAAGTAAGGTATCTCTTGTTGCCTTGGGATATTCCAAAAATTCCAGCACTTTCACAGAGAGTTCTTCCTGAGGAGAGAATTACTAATAAAAATGAGTGAAAATTGAAAATAGAACAAAACAAGATAAATAGGTAGCTTTTATTCTCAAATCACTTACCTTCTTCACAATACTCTTGTTTATAGGTATATCCAGCACATCGCAGAAATCAATTAATTTTTCCTTGATACATTTCTCGAGCTTTTCCTTCATTCTTGCCCTTTGTTTCTCCTCCTGGAAAATATTTATATTGCAGTCTCAACAGAAGGCACAACATCATACACATCCCTGAAGCTAAACCATATGTAATTGGTTACCTCTTTCTCTGACCATACAAAGCCTGAAAACTGACCAATATTTTTCTTTAGCACCTGTGCCTGCAGATCAAATAAACGCCTTAAGTACCAATCACTTGGATAGAAAGAGGAGAATGATATTCCAAGACAATTATGTTAAACATATACAGGAATAGAAGCTCCAAATAGGAAAATACACATCAATGAAGCAAGATAGCACCTTTGCTTTCTTCCCATAAAGAATGGTGTGAAGTAAGAGCAGATTGTCATCAGGTTTTCTCTTGGATAGTTTATAAGCCACTGAAACCGTTAACACTATCAGACAACAGAAATTCTGAAGACAGAAAAAGATAGAACATGATTTGGATAACACTAATCAGAGCTCAGAAATTCCACTTTTCATAAATACAAATTACCTAAGAAAAAAAAGGGAAAACACCCAAAAAAACACTTGAACAACCACTTAAAACGTCAACTATCTACGGAATCAAATATTATAATATATATTCAATTAGTTGAAAAATATAATATTGTTATTTCTTAATAGAATTAGAGATTTTATTTGGATTTGTGGCTGGTTGAGGTTTTAAATGGGTGTTTTTTAAGAGAAATGTATTTTTGACGTTTTGTTTAGGATGAAAGTTTATTTGGGTTTTTGGATATTTGAAGCTTTAAATGGATGCTTTTCAAAAGTTGAGTTTTCAGGGTTTTATGTTTTCTCAAGTAAAAATGGATAAGACAGCATGTCATCTTCCCACCAAGTACCCTATAGAGTATATTCGTTGTGTGGACCGTGTGGTTATCTCCCCAAGCAGAGACTCTAATTGAAATTTGATGAGGTAAGAAAAACCCAATCGACGGGAGCTACTCTCAGAGAGGATGTTAATTCTATTCTAGAAGAAGGGTTTTTCTTTTTTGTTCAATCATTAAACCAATTCCACTACCACAATATTCCTTCTCCCAAAAATGATTCAACCTTTAGGTGATACACAAACTTAAAAGAGGAAATCTTGTACCAGAAAGTCTAACAAGCAGCCCCCTAATTGATGCAACTAGTAGCTTCTCCAGGCAAACTAAATGCACATTCATGCCTTAGAGCTCTCAGCCTACATTGGTCTATCATCATAGCTATACAATTATACAGAAGCGAACTCAAGATGAACAAACCAATGAACACAAACAGAGACTCAGCAATAATCGTGTCTTTGTTTCGTTTAATAGTTCTGTAAAATATTTCACAAGAAATGCATTAAAACAAGCACGAGTAGAAGTAATGCGCATACGCACCATTTGGTATCTCTCTGAGCCTCGCTCCACGACCCTGAAAAAATCAAAACCCAAAAACCCAGGGCGAATCAACATTCAAACCATAATTCAAAAGAAACTCTACACAATACACACGCCGCAGAACCAGAAGGCAGCAATACTTGCGTTGATATACCTTCTCAATCGACACAGACTTGCTTGCAGAGGACCGTGAAGGAGTGGGCAGCGAATAACGCTCGACCTTCTTTCTCTCCCTCGTGGGCCTGTCACTGACCGGCGTTACCGGCTCCTTCTCCGCCGATTTCTTTCTTCCACTTCCCTTCTTATCCGCCTCTTCCTCCTTGCTTTCTCCGTCATCTTCTTCCTCTTTTTCCTCCGCTTCGTCCTTTTCTTCCGCCTCGTCACTTTCCCGAGAAACAGCTTTCTCGGAAACCGTCTCCTTCACGGAATCGGCAACACCATCCTCCTCCTCCGCCGGAGCTTCAGCCTGCGGTTTCTTCTCCTCTAGGGTTTCAGTACTCATCGGAAGACCACCAAACAGGGGGAATCGAGAGGAATCACGCCCAAAAAGGAGACAGCTGAATCGAACACAAACCCTAGATTCAGAGGTTTAGGAGAAAACCCTAAATAAAAAAAATGGAGAAAAGACGAAGGAATTGGGGATTTCAAAAATTTTGGTGCCAAAATGGAACAAAGCGCCCTGCTGTCGATATTTCACTAAAAGCACCCACACACACACCCCAATATATAGATACACGCACATACAGACAAGATAATTGACATTGACACTAAAATAAATATATAAATATCCAAACCTAACAAAAATATGCAAGACCGTAGCTCAAATCCAAGATTTCAATGTTTAGATATTTTTTCATATTGAATATACATTGCATTTTTTTAGTGTATTTAGATATTAAATAAGTTTGAAATAAAAATTGTAGTTACGATCACTGGCAGATTTAGAAAAAAATATAAATGGGGGCATGGATTTTATACATATAATTTTATAAAACCAAATTTCATTTTAATGGGAGCATTGAACAGTTTTTTTAGTATTTTTACAAAATTTATACATAAATTTTATTATTTTTGTAATTTGAATGGGGCTTGTACCCCCACTCCTCATCAAGAAGATCCGCCCCTGGTTACGATTAAGATTACATAATGCATATATACAAATGACTTTGGTAATAATAACATATGATCTAGTCCAAGATTGACCGATTTTCGACCGATTTTATTTTGAACCGATCCGGTTTGGAAAAACCGTTTGGTTTTATTTAATTTAGGCGAATAGACCGTATTGTTCATAAAAGGCTTTTAAGGGTACATATTTGGGCCCAAAATAAATGGGCCTTGAGCCCATTTCGTTGGAGACCAGACTTTGAAAAATTAATAAAAGCACCTTCGAAAAAAACCAGTGTATGGAACGCGAAGAGAAATTTGGAGGGAAAATCCTGGACTTTCGCCGGAGAAATGCCTAGACGACGCCTGAGGCTCCGTTGCTCGTCCGACGAAGACAACGAAGACGACGAAGCAGAAACAAGAGGAAATGGGAATGTATTACTCAATCACAGTCTTTCCGACGCTGGGCCACGGGATATTTCACCGGCGTCGACTTCGAACGGTAGCCGAAACCCTAGTTCAGGGGAGCGAATCACCATCTCCGATGACGAACTCATCGATGTCTCGGATGACCCTACTCCTCCACCGCAGAGTACTATTCCTCCCACGCCGTGTCCGGTTACTCCGCCGGACTCGGACATCGGCGACGACTCGCCGATTGCGGGGTTTCTTTCTCGAATGGGGCTTAGACTGAAGAGGGATTGGTTGGTTGCTTGTCTCACTGAACTGGAGAGGTCCGTTCCTCGGTTTAACAGCCTTGATGTGGCTGCCAAGGCGAAGCTTTGCTTCGAGCAGTTCCTGTTTTCCGACATGAATCATAGCGGAGGTGGAGTTCTTCCTCGGGATATTAGGTCAATGCATCTTGTAGAACTCGGTGGTCCGTTTGTTCTCCAGGTTATGTGCTCGTTTGTGTTTGCTTCAGGATTTTTGTTGGTTTATCATTGTGTAAAAGGTGTGATATTGGCTCAACTGATGGCTAATCTCTTCTGCCCAGGTTGATGAGATTGTAAACATCGGTTGCCCTCTCAAGGGAAGGTACGAAAATGCGAATGCAGGCCTGAAGAGGTGCCTTAAGCTCTCTATGACAGATGGTGTTCAACGCGTTTTCGGCATGGAATACAGACCCATAAAGGATCTCCAAGTCTTGGATCCTGCTGGTTTGAAGGTGTTTTTTTTTTTTGCTGATGATTGTTGCCTTTTGGAATGTGAAAATTAGGATTTGAGATTTTGATTTAGTGCTACCTCTCAACCAAACCCTAGTGAGTGCTTATCAGATAAGTCGTTTGAAGGTTGGATTTTTACTTAAGGTACTCATAGTATAAGCTCTGACTAGGTGATTGAAATGCAGATTGTGATCTCTAGCGTTCAAGTTCGACATGGGCTTCTGATGTTGGTGCCTGAAGTTTTAGATGTTTTAGGAGGAGTGGTTGAAGAGTTGGAAGAAGCACGGAAACGTCTAGTTGTTGAAGTAAACAAGCCTCCAAGAGGGAAAAGGTAGATTGATTTTAATGATTGGTTGATTCCTTCCTCACCCTGCATGCTCCGTAATTTGTTTCATGGTTGTTTTACTTAAAATAGTTATTTCCTAAAGGTCTTTTTTTTATTCACTCGATTCTTATGTCTTCAAACTCCTGTAACCTGAATAAGATTAATCACTTAGAGAACATTCCGATGGCCTAGTAGTTCTCTGAGCTTGGCATTTCTTTTTAGGGGTATGGGTATTTGCAATTTCTTTGGATAGCATACCTGATAAAGATGGTGTCTGGTGGATGATTTTGTGTCTACAATTTCAAAAGTTGTATAACATCTGCACTACTTATCATGATTCCATCTGATTACCAATTCGGGTTGATTAGAATTTTGCTTTGTTTCTTTTTTTATTTTTAATAGAACATATGCACTAAATTTTTGCAGAACCAGGACTGGAGGGGTTCCTTCTTTGGCAGCTAGAGCAACTCAGGCTGCTTGGTCCCTAAATGGCAATGATAACGATAGTCGTGTATATAGTTCTACCTCAAGAAATACTAATCAATTTCGTGCTGATGGACAAGGTAGCATGTTTCTGCCTTAATAGCTGTTTTAGCAGAGACATTAACAAGATGTTGCAAGTATACATTTCTCCATTCATAATACGAGTTACAGCGTCATCAAATGTTATTTGAAATGCCGATCTTGTGCCTGAACAAGTCAAATCACACAGTTGTTATTCCACCAAATCCCTCACCATAGCAAGCTTTTATGCTAAAATTACTTAGTTATCTTTCTGTTTTGAAGATGGTACTATGCATAGTAATCATAGTAACATGAAAATGCATAGCAATCATAGTAACATGAAACCACGAATTGGTTTTGTGAGTTTCAGTGGTGAATAACTCTTCTCTAATGAATCCATTTATTGCAGGTGATCCTCTAAATGAAACTAGAACTGATATTGGTCTGAGACAAACAGGGGAACCTCCTGCTTCCAACAGTATGGAAGCTACTGTATCAGGGGTTGAGGATATGCAGATAGATCGAGTTTCTGTTAGTGGGGAAAGAACTGTTTTTTATTTACCCTCGACTTCTGGTAACATGCACACGGCACCATCCACTATTGGTACTGGCTGCAGTAGTGTGAGAGCTGCTTTCAACAACAACGGCGAAAATAACTTGGATCATCAAACATCTAGGGTTACCGCATTTGTTGAGGAGATGCATATGGACAATGTTCATGTATCTGGTCCGGGTTCAGGCACTACAGAACATGCTGAATTCATTAGTATGGTTGATGATGATTCGGAGAACCCATTCATCCTGTCAAGAAACGCAGAAACACCTTTCACTTACTTAGCCAACATGTCGGCCAGATGGGCAGCCATGAAAGACACCGTGCCATCTGTTCGGGGAAAGATCAAGGTACTAACATTAGTTTTTAAACTATAATCCAATACCACTTCTCAAGCCTACTAATTTCCTTGTTCATTATAAGTGGACTGTAGTGTTTTCTAACCGGGGTCAAGAATTTCCGTTATAAGCAACGTCTGGAATATGAGCTTCTATGTTACGTTGATGATGGCAGCCTCATCTACGAAATCATGATCCATCACAAGGTAACCCTTTTTTTTCATTCTTTGTTCGGCTTATGGCATTGTGAATAGAAGTTGCCTGCATGGCTAAATGTAAAAATCTCCTCTTCAGGTTGTAGAGAAAGGAATAGGGCATTCGCCCATGGAAGTCTCGGCTGCTCTCTCCTCTTCAAACCCAACAATGGCCAGTTCCATGAAGGAGAAACTGAGACAGTTCCAAATGTTCCTAGCAAACTTCGAGGTAAAAAAAAAAACTGGTTGATGGTTTTTGTCGGATTCCTATCATAGAAAAAGAGAAACCCGAACTGTGGTTAGAATTATAACGGTACAAGACTGAGATTTAGGCGTAGAACGCAGAAGAAAAAACAGAGGAGATAAAAGCGTTTTTGCATCAAAATGATGATTTGGTTGTGAATGCAGGGGAAAATGGTGATAGAGATGAACAAAACGTCGGAATATCCGATAGCTATGGAGGTGGAAGAGGGATGTTCATCTTCTGATGCTTGGTTGCTCTTCCAAAGGCTCAAACCGCCGGATGCAATTGTGTTATCTCCTTGATTGTGACGAGCATTGAATTATATATATAAAAAAATGAATGAAAATAAAAACATTTTTAAAAAAAAAGAGTAATTTATTTTTAATAAAAATAAACGTCGAATCATAGGAATAAATAGGAATATGGATATAATTTTTTCTAGAATTTAAAAATGTAATATTGCTATTGGGCCGGGCCGATAAACCATTAAGATAAGAAGCAAACCAACATTGCTATTGGGCCGGGCCTTTATATCGGAGAAAGTCCAAAGAGTTTTTATTTTCGTAAATAGCAAAATCCTCAGTAATATAAAAAATCTGTTATTTACAAATGTCTTCCTTCAATTGTTTATTGTTTTTACACTTTTTCCAAACGAAAAAGGGAAAAAACTGAAAGCAATAAATGAGAATCTGATTTTTTTTTGGATTCCTAAAATGGTAAAGATCTCTTTGGTAACAAATTTAATTTTTTATGCAGAAAGAAACAAAAATCTATAAATTAAAGTAATAAAAAAATCCAAAACTTGTTTACTAGCATTAATTGTTTTAGACTGATGATAATGCCAAAACAGCCGCTGTATTTTCGAATTTACCGAATGGCCCTTTATTATCTCTCATTTGAAGGATGACACCACAATTACATAAAAATCGTATCGATTTCATTCAACAGTCGATTTTACAAAAATAAAAAGAAAACATTTTTTCACGGGATAAGATATTGAAATTTGGCATTGTTAAAATAATTAATATGTAACCACAATAACAACAACAATAAACCATGATACCTGAAAATCGATGTCTAGATATTTGCAGTTTAGTCCCTGAGGAAAATAACCTTGACAGTTATCCCCAAAATCTTCATAATCTCCTCATTATATATAATCCTCATGACAAAACACACACACCATAACCGTATATGTCCGAAAGATGAGTGACGTTCTGCAAAATATATTAGGGAGATTGCCGGCGAAATCATTCGCGGCGGCGGCATGCGTGAGCCGATCTTGGAACAAAGCTAGTCGTCAGATCCTTTCTCGGCCGAGGCTCGCCACCGCTCTCTCTCTAAACCCTGATCCCTATGTAAACTATATATATATACCATATGATCGTCCTCCACCTCTTCATCATCGTCATCATGTACATGTGTATATATTCAAATTATAATATGTGGATTTGAATAAGATGTATATTTACATGGCACAGCTTGGTGTGATGGAGGTTATCGACAAGGTGTTAAGTAGGCCGATCCGTCCACATTTCGCCATCGCCTTTGTTTCCACAGAAACCTGCTTGCACTTGGTGCATTCCATGGTATTTTCTCAAACCCTTTTTCATGCTCATGATTTCGGACCGACCTATCGAACGAATATGTACGAATCTTTTGTGTATTCATGTTTTGGATCGTATGTGTTTTTGGTGTATATGTATGAAAAGGTCACAATACACTTGGGCTCAAACGTACCCTTGATTACAAACGCTACTGCCGGAGTTATCGGTAAAGATGGGATTACGAATCGATTCAAAGAGGTATATCTTTACAATTTCAAGAGATTTTTGTAAGGCTTTTTATATATGAAATATCTGATAGTTTTGTGGGGAAAATGTTTATGCAGGTGAAATGGGACGTGATTTATGGAGAAGACGAAGTTTTGGCTGATGATTTAAACCGGGGAATTGGTTTGGTGGTAGGGTTTTTACCGGGGGTTAAAACAAGCATTTTCCCTCTGCTCCATACCAAATCGGTACGATTTTGCTATTAACCGGTCATGAGAATTTGACTATGAAATCTATGTGTAGTTTCTTTCACTCTCTCTCTCTCTCTTTTATGAACATATTCTTTATGTGGTTTGGTTATTATTAGGATCCTCATATGGCTATGGTCGATAAATTCGTTTCGGACATTCGGGGTTACACCATTTCTGTCTCTGGAGACGAGATTCCGGTTGGTGTAATGATGTTTGGGGTAAGTTTTTTTTTTGATAAAAAAAAAAAGAAATCTCTTTGCGCTTTGTTTCCATGTTACAAACTCTGTTCCTATGGATTTTATTTTTTTATATTTGTGAATGTCCAGATTCGAACTCGACCGCGTTGCTTTTATTTACCCCATCTTACCATTTGTTCTAACAACCTTGGACGTTCCTATGGATTTTGTTTCCGTAAAATTTATTTCGACTGAAATTTGGGGATTGATGATGATTTTGTAGGACCATCATTCGGATTTCGGGCCCATCATAGCAGAAATAGGTTGGTTCATTTCACAATAGAAAGTCCTAATTAATCGTACTAGAAAATTAAATAACCAAAGTAAATATATAAGAAATTATCTATAATATATATTCCGGTAAAATATCATATAGATATATATATATATATATATTTACATGTAACTTTGATATATCAGATGAGAAGATGCCCATAGAGACAATTGTCATAGGAGATGTGAGCAGCTGCGTCAAATGTACGAACAATGCTATACAAGATTTTGATCAGGACGCCTATTATGTGGATGCGGTAGGCCTTGTCTTCGCCAAAGACAACCAATACAACCACGAAGGTATACATGAACTTCACATACATACATACATGTATATATTCACGTGCAAGGATATACATACATACATACATACATACATACATACATACATACATACATACATACATACATACTCAATTGTATGAGTATATACACACGTGCTTAAAAAAAGTGTTGGCCTCCATGCATGCAGGAGAAATCAAATTCCATGTGGGGATTTCCAGTGGAATAATGCCGTGCGGTCCACGTCTAGAGGTTGTTGACGTGGTCGAGAACGAGGCAGGATTTTCATGGTTGATTGCTAAATCCATGGACGATGCTGGACTTCTCGACGCCTCCCAAATCATACAAACTCTTGGTCGTACGGTATATTATCATTTCTCATATATATATATATATATATATTACTCTACACACATACATATGTTATAACTAGGGATGGACCAACGGTTCCGATGAACTTATTTGGTTTCGGTTAATTCGGTGGTTCAATTTAATCCAATTATATCAAATTGAAACTGCAATAAAATAATAATCAAGTAAAAATTCATTTTAGTTTAGTTATACAATTACACTATATAAACAATCATATTATTCGAATTTATCTATTTATATATAATATATATTTTCTGCGCCATTAACCAATGATACATGTGTTGATGAACGGTTATATATTCGATTTATTCGGTCACGGTTAATTGGTGTTCGATTTATTCGATTAAGATTAATTCATGTTCGGTTTTCTGATTCGGTTATTTCAAGTTTCAAAAATTCATAACCAGATGATTATTTAATCTTAATCGGTTCGGTTCGATATTTTAAATAACCAAACCGTTTGCTCGCCCTTGGTTACGGTTCTCGAATGATCTAACAACACTCAATCTTTTCGCAGATCGAAGATGAATCGTACGCTCTGTACATCGGTGTCACGCAAGAAAAAATGCCCCACGAGGGAGAAAACCCTCCAAAGTACTTAGCCTTTCACGATCTTCTCGGGTGAGATTATGCACAAACTTAATCACAATGATCATTCTCCGAACGATTCATTATTACAGCGTTATGATAATGTTATTGCAATGTAAACAGCACGGAACAGGAAATGTTTGTGGTGGCTGGGACGGGAATCAAACCGGGAGATACGTTTCTACTCTATCATTCGGATTCAGATACCGCGAGATCTTCGTGCGTCAACGTCTTCAACGAGTTCAACCGTATCGCAAACCCGATATCGATGTCGATGAATCCGAACCTGGAAGTTTTCGGAGGGATGATATTCGCTTGCTCTAACCGTGGTGAGAATTTTTTCGGAGAACCAAAGGTGGACTCCATGCCGCTCCGTGAGAATTTTCCGAGGGCCCCGCTCTGTGGGACGTTTTGCCTTGCCCCTTTTGCACGTCGTGCCGTTTTGGGGAAGGAAAACGTCGAGAGGTGTTCCGTGCCGGTCTTCAGCGCGGTCTATTTGGCTATGACTTTTGTTCCGTCTTCTCCTCCGCCTCCTCAGTAGCTTGCAGCATTTTGCCTTTGGTCGGTCCAAAATGTGATAAATCCTATTTTAATTTCGCTGTTTTCATTTTATGATCCAAGAAAATATTCGAAAACTGTAAATAAAAACTGAATATCTATGTTCTTTTCTCTCTCCCTAATTAGGGTGACCATTTCGACTTTCAGTTTGGATTCGGTTATTTCGATTTCAATTTTATATAAACTTCGTTTCGTTTCGCTTATCTTTTGATTCGGTTCGGTTTGTTTTGGTTTCGATAAAAAATTAATTTTTTTAAAGAAATTGTCGGTTTTTTTGGTTATTTTTATTCGGTTCGGTTTGATTTTTTTGAATTTAAAAAATTTATAATGATTCAGTTTTGATATCGGATTCAATTTGAGTACGGTTGTTGTATTCGGTTGGATTAAGTTATTCTGTTGAGAACCGAAATGGCCAACCCTATGAATCTGAATCCTAATGGCAATTTTATCCATTAATATTCCGAGAGAGACCGTCCTCCTGACGACGAGCGAAATGAATAGCAGCAAGAGAGAGAAATCGGAAATTGGGCTCCCTTGCTTCATGGCCTCCATGAACGATGACCTTCTCAACAACATTCTCGGCAGGTTGCCGGCGAAATCTTTCGCCTTCGCTTCCTGCGTTTGCCGATCCTGGAACAATGTCTCTTGTCGGATCCTTTCCCGCCCTATGATTCGCTCCGCTTTCGCCGTCGGTCGCGATGTTCCTGTAAGTTTTTCTCGGGGTTTTGTGTTTGCTTCTGGTTGTTTTTGCTCTGCAGTGATGAGCGTGTTCTGCGAATGGTTAATTCGGAGGCCGTGATATCGTTACCCTAGGAGTTTCGGCTGGGGGTTTTAAGTTTCTGCTTGAAAATTAGGGTTCTCGATTTGAATTTAGGATGCATTTTATTAGTTTCAGGAAATTCTCACGATTTCCCCAACATTACCAATCCGTGGAGAAGTGACTTTGACAGTGGTGATGAGCCTCATAATCTGAATCTCCCGGAGAATGAGCAAGGAACTTGTCGGAATCTGATTGCATTGATATTAGATGTTTCTGTTAAGTAGCCTCCATGAATAGTACAGCTTAGAAGCTTTAAAACCTTAACATCAGAATCCCAACATGATGTGGGATCTGTATACCAAAGTCTGACAATAGGAAAGGAGACTATATCTTGAGAAAATAGCCTAAGAGCAACTAAAAAGAAGAAAACAGCACTTGCTCGACAAAGGTGAACGTTAGATGATATAACGGGAGAAAGATCATGCGTAAAACACTGAACAGGGAAAAAAATGGAAGTGTGTAAAACTTCATAGGTCAAATCTTTCTCTAGATAAGTATCTTCATTCACATGAATTAGTCCGATACTCTCTTGAAGATCGGTTGGACCAAGTAGTATAGAACCTCAGCGGGTGGTAGAATTGTCATGATAGTTCAGGATCTTCACTTTTGAAACGTAGTTGGATGTAGTATTAGGAAGACAAGCATCGTAATGAAGATGGACACTTACTCTTTCAAAGATTTTCTTTCAAGAGCTGTTGTTTAATTAATTCTTTGTAAGTATGTGTGACTGTGTGGCTGCCCATTCCCTAAAAACTGTCACATTCTTCTGAAAAACAGAAAGCTGCAGAAGAAGTACTTGATAAGGTCTTATCTAAGCCAATGCGACCAGATTTTGCCATCGCCAATGTCACAAGTATTTCGATGCTGGAAGAAATTCAAACAATGGTATGATTCTTCTTGTTGTTATTCCTCGTTATTGCTGAATTATGGAACACAAATCCAAAGTTAGTTGTTTCTTCCTGGTCTTTTTGTGTTTTCGGATGCACATGGCGTAGATAGTGAAAAGAGTGGGATCAAGGATTCCTATTATTGTATCTCTTGTTGCTGGAATCTTAGGGAAGGAAGCTTGCAGCGATGAATTTAGAAAGGTATGATTTATTTTCATGTTTTCAGATTGAGAAAATAAAAAAAGCATTTTCAATATCCTTGTTATAGTTTACTTCTTATCATGTATACCGCAGCTCAATTGGGATAATCCAACTGATGATGATACAACTGATGTAGAAGATTCTGCTATACTGTTGACCATTGGCTATACTCCGGGACTAAAAGTTGAAGTCATTCCTATAATTAAAAGAGATGAGGTATTGTTTTATGCTGCCAAAATTTGAGAACACTGTGGAATTCGCTGTTAACTGGATTTTTTTTTTTCTTCACACTGACTTCCCGTGACTAAATTTCCATGTTCAGTGAACCTATACAATTTGCTTCTAGAAAAAGGAGGCACAAAAATCACAATACGATTGGGGCATTGTTTAATGGATGATATGCTTAGTGATGCCATTTTTGAGATAAATGGGAAGTTTGTGGTTCTTTCAGGAATCCTTCGAGACAATGGGAGACGAGTTTGTGATGGATATCAGAAAATATGTATCCAGTGTTTCAGATCATACTGCACCGATCGGTGTTATACTGTTTGGGGTGAATTAATTTTCCGATGCTTCCCTTTCTGCTTTCTGCAAGTTCATTCAGTTCCTCTAACCTTGCCAGTAACATGAGTATTGGTAATTTCGTAGGGGAAATTTCAAGATGTGGAACCTATAATTGAAAAACTGGGTACGTGAAACTGCTTTATACTATTTTTCTGCGCATGTTTTTGTCCTACAAATGTGGCCATTCTACACGGGATTCTAGTACACAAATAAATGGTGATCTATTGTTTTCTATAGTCCTTGAAATTTTAAAAAAAAATCTTTATATGTGTATGTTTTGAATATTGATTACAGTTAATGTGATTTGTAGATTATGCCATGCCTGGGGAAACTCTTTTTATGGGTGATGAAAGAAGTCAGTTTGTATATAGGAGGGCCAATGAACCGATAAGTGCACGGTTGAATAATCCTATTTCTGGAAGTGCTAGGATTCTGGCTGGCCTGGTCTTTGCAACGGACAGACACAAACCACCTAGTAAGTGTTTATTGTTCTTTCAATACTATCCCCTTAAAAGCTCTTCAACATCTACGTGAGTAGCATTTAGACTTTCTATCATGTACTATTTCTCTATACTGTACTCCCATTTGAAGCTTCAACATTTTAGAAGGATTAATAATGAAAACTTCTGTCTTGTTATGTTGAGATGCCTTGGGTAAAGACTCGAACTTTGTGTTTTGTCGGTACTTGTACTGTCGTCTTTACCTGTATGAGCTTCCAATTACATTGTGCTAAGATTGTGTTGGCAAACTTGTTGACTTAAACAAATCAGATGTAGGAGAGATTCGGTTTCACGCAATGATATCGAGAGGAATCTCACCGGTCGGTCCAAGGTACAAGGCGGCTTCTGTTAGGGTCAACAATCTTGGCTTTTTCGCATTTCTCACTGCCAAAAGAGAAGGGCAGCCTGAGATTCTTGATGGTCAGCAGCTTCTTGATGACATAAATAACTTGGTATGGTTGCATTGAGATAAATTGCTTGAATCCTTTCTCCATATCATCCATCAGCTAGGCTTTTAAGTTTCCCCTCATTAGGTTTAAGCAGTCATCTGAGATCAATATTTTCCCTAACTGAACCATTAGAAAAGATTTGGACCTCTTTCAGGGGAAATGAGGATGGATTCTCATGGTAGTTTCCATTAGTTGTTATTGTTCTAAGAATTCACCTGATAAATATCAGAAATCTTGATGGTATTTTACATGTTTATATCAGTCAATAAGTTGCACAAGAGTTTGTCTACAAAAATTACGAGTCTAATCAGGGAAAGGGAAGGGATTGGATTTATAAAACATACACAATACTATGCACTTCTTGTGTATTTACCGAGCAATTACCTACATTCTCTGTAAATTATTTTGTATGCTTATTGGTTAATAAAGAGTTAGATCTTCTAATTCAGATATGGAAAAAGGGGGTTAGATCTTCTAATTCAAATCAAATGTAGCTTTGTTTTTGTAGCCTTTATTTTGCTTCTAATTGTGAACAATGATTGAATACGCAGTTGGGAAATCGTGCGGAGGATGCAATTCTGTATATTGGAGTGACGAAACGAAGAAATTGCTCGGTTGGTTCAAAGAAGCCAAAGCCAATAACCTCCCTTGTATACCATGAAGTAACAGGGTAAGATCAAACGAAGAGATTCATATTTTTGGACTTAATACAGATCATAAGGGTAGAGATCTTCATACTTGGGTTGGCCTGTAATGAATCCAAAACAATATTATAGCAATGAACCCAAATAATTCAGATTACTAATCTTCATTCTCTTACGCACCATGAATCTAACTAACTTAAATTATTTTGTTTTGGTCGGAAATATGAACTGATTGGATCGTTTTTTTCCTTATTAGAGGAGACGAACATTGTCTAACAGTACAAGGTGCCAGAATCAGAACCGGTGACTATTTCCAGTTCTACTACTCGGATCCAGAAGCCGCTCGAGCATCGGTAAACGACGTATCTTCCCAGCTTAGACACCTAAAAACTGAACTGAATAATTCAACGGATAGAGTAAAGACAGAATTCGTTGGGGGTTTCATCTTCACATGTTGTGGAAGGGGAGAGCCGTTCTTTGGGAGTCCCGACATCGATGGCTCCCCGTTCCTGGAGAACTTACCCGAGTCATCGTTCGGAGGTATATTGTGCGGCGGAGAGATTTTCCGCTCTTCCCGGG